CTTCCCTATACACCTGAAGACGGAGACAGATCCAGTCTCCGAAACGTTGTGGTTTTTTGTCTTTTTATATACCGGACGATGGGTGAAGTCCAAAATAAGCCAAAAGAAGTACTGTGTTTTTTGTTGCAGGGATTTTGTGTTTTGGTATTTACCTCAGATCCAGTACAAGAATCCCAATGTGCAGGTGATGACCCTTACTAACATGACACCATCTCCATTCATAACATGCTTTTTTGGTAAGTTCTGTCATGTAAATATGTTCTTACATTGCCACAGAAGGGTAATATAACAACTTCCCACATAATTCCATAGAAGATAGGACATATTGTTCAATATATGTAATTATAATACCAAATTCATTATCTGTCTTCTGTTATAAGGACCAAGAAGGCTGGTGTAACGGGAGCACTATAGTCTTGTATTTGACAGTTATCCATTTCTAATCTTGTCCAGGATATCAGCTACTTTGACATTTTTCACAGTTTACCTTAGTCTTCCACATGAATGCTGAGGTGGTACCTTGAAATAGGCTGCAACTGACTAATTATATGTACCCGCATTCTCACCGTCAAGAGTTAGTATAGTTCAACCTTTATGTTATACTAGTAGAGAATTTGTTATTTTCCAAAAGCAGTTGATGTAGTAGTATTCTCATTAACTTGGTTGTCTAGAATTAATATCAGTCATTTTCACCGTGATTTTGTCATAAGGTAAGTACATTTGTATTGGTTTCATGACATGCTATGTACAGCAATCATGTGTCTTATGTTTTCTTTACTGCCTTGGTGAAGGTAAGGATGTAATGTTAGGTAGCTCGGTAATTTGTAATGCTCATACATGATCATGGAAAATCAAGATGTTTTATTGATCCGCTTTGAAATTCAGATAGTAAAGCATGTCGCACAAGAAAGATATAGACAAGTTTCACAGAGTGTTAAGTTGTATAGTAGATTGTTAAACTATGTTTCCCTGAAATGTTGAATTGTACCGTAAGAAGAATGTGACATTGTGTTTTTAAATGTTAAGTTTTAGACTGGGTTCAGTGTGGCAGCGACGTTAAGAGTATACACCTGATGATGGCCGATAGAGGCCGAAACATGTAGTGTAGAAAGAACAAGATCAAAGACATATAAATATATATTGTTTGCACTTAGGACGGAGTTTGTATCATTTATCGTGTAGAGTGCAACAGGATGCTTAAATATAATATTGTACCGTAAACTCTCTGTTATCCGGGATATACTGATTGTATTAATCTGTCAGTTGCATGAGAAAAACTTACAGAAACCTGATATAAAGTCAAAGCAGTGCCCTTTCACTTGTTTTTGTGTGCAAGTCTTCCAAGGTAACGCAGCAGATTAGTGGGTGAAAGATTTCGGATATATATTCTGTAACACAAATTTATCTGGCCTCAACTGTGATGGCACCTGTGTGAAGGAGAAAAACTGGTCACGCTGCTAGTGGTGTCTGGGAGAACTATCAGGTCACAGGTGGACACATCCACATCACAGGTTTCATATTTAAGGACTTAATGAAGTTGGTAATTTGTCTCTGTAATTTTTGCTGGTTGGATGAGGATTCTAGATGCTTGGATAATGGATAAGCAGGAAATTAATAGTAGAGTGAATTTACCGACTACACTACACGTTTGTTATTATCACTACATGTTTCGACCTCAAGAGGTCATCCTCAGGTGTATGAACATGGCTGTATAATTACACGCGGTCACATTCACTTTTCACTCATTCGACCCTGTATCTTATCCAGATTTACGCTCACTAATATATCGAGTTCATTTTATAAAACACAGGTTAAAATTATTATTCTAATTTAATTGTTAAAAGCTAGAAGTTCGTGAATCGAAGTTCAATTCATGTCACTGGTTACACTTCACTTGTTTTTACAGTCTCATTTTACTTACGCTCACAATGAGACTATAAAATGAGACTGTAAAAACAAGTGAAGTGTAACCAGTGACATGAATTGAACTTCGATTCACGAACTTTTAACTTTTAACAATTAAATTAGAATAATAATTTTAACCTGTGTTTTATAAAAAGAACTCGATATATGAATGAGTGAAAAGTGAATGTGACCGCGTGTAATTATACAGCCGTGTTCATACACCTGAGGATGACCTCTTGAGGTCGAAACATGTAGTGATAATAAAAAACATGTTGTGTAGTTGGTAAATTCACTCTACTATTAATTAAACACACAACAGGATGCAAGAAACGATTAAAAGGATAAGCAGGAGTTTACTGTATACTGTTATGGTTTGTTGATTACACATGTTTCCTCCAATTTAGTGTAATTCAGTGTTCATTCTAGTTGGTGAGACTGCCATGTTTTTCCCTATTAGGTTGTGTTGGCTGTTGATCCTGTTATGAAGAATTTACATTGAGATGTTTGTACTCCAGATTCACATCAGCAAGTGATCCCAACACACTGGTCTCATTGCTTAACCCATACCCGTATCTCTTCTGAATCTGTGAAAAGTCAAAATTGGAATTTATGAGAGAGGAAGAAACAGGAAACTGACAAACAGTACATAATGAGGAGTTTCATTATTTGTACTCTTCACTAGGTACTGTAAGAGTGATCATAACAAGAAGTGTAATGTTGGTGGGGTATATCGTGAAATGAGAAATGTGCACAAAATTTTGGCTGAAAACATAAAGGAAGGATAACATTAAAATGGAATAGATTAATGTGGCTTGGAATAGGGTCCAGCAGCAAGCCTGTTTGAACATGATAAGGAATATTTGGGTTCTATATGAGGTTGGGATGTTTCTTAAATAGCTACCTAAGAAGGGCTTTATTAACCTAATTGACATCTGGTAGTAGCTGACTTCTCATTTTCCATTTAGTTTAGTATGGTGATGTTCATATTATCTTTTCAGATACTGGGGAACGAATGCATATTGACATTGACAGCAAAACAAAGGAAGAAGTACAGACACACCTGAAGAAAGTTATTTGCAAACCTGGGTAAGTGTTATGTGTTGTAAAGTGTAATGTAAAAGTAAGATTGTCCCTGTGCTTAACTAATTAAGCACTATGCCATGAAGGCATATAGGGGAGTGGATATATTGATCCACGTTTTCTTGACCTCAGCACTAGCTGGAGGTGAGTGATCAGCTTCATGCACTGGCTGCTTTGTCCCCGGCGAAAGAGCCCCCAATAACCACTGGATAGGAAGCTGGCTGTACGCCAGAGCCAGTCTGGACGACGTGGAGAAGAGAATATTCTTGACCCTACCAGAACACGAGCACTGTCCCCTCAGACATCCAGCTATACTGACTACACTATCCTGGCTCCCATTGTAAAGGGTAGACAGACCTAAAAATTGGCGTGTGCTGGTTTGCTGCCATCTAGTCCTGTGGTTAAAACCAGCATTTCAGATGAGGCTGCTGGCTTCATCTTCTGACAATCAAAGCAGCAGGTTCATCCAAAACATTAGTATCTATCTACCAGACTATACTTCATCACATCCCAGAAGGCTGTAATCTTAATATTCACTGCTGTGAACCTTACATTTCATTTAGACAGACTTTGTTCTCTTGTTATTAGTGATGTTAGTGTTGTTGTCAAAAACTGGTCAAACTTACTGAATGTTGGAGCTGTCTGTGATAATTTCCAGAAGTTTTGGACCCACAAACACATGTGTAATGGATGGGATAGGTGTTTGGGTACATACTTTTTTATAGCAGATTTTTTTGTTTGTCCTGATGAGGTCATTGGATTTTTTCAATTGACCTAATCCTTCCAGCCACATTATGGCCCTGGGGTCGACTCAGCCTCTAACAGAAATGAGTACCAGGAATGTTCTTGGGGGTAAAGGGCTGCCAGCGCATAGGGCTGACAACCTTGCCACCATCTGTGAGCTGATTGTCTCACCCTATGGGCCTCCACAGCCTGTCACAGGGATACCTTTGTTTATTTACTTAATTTTTTTATGTTTGTGTAAAGGGATTTTACTAATATTATTTCCACAAGCCATGATGACAGTTTGAAAGAACTGCATGCTGCTCATAAACCACAGTTCGGCTACATCTAATACAGGGTGTGTCAATGAATTGGGCAATTTGGCAGCCGTGTATTTTCCTGGATTGGTTAGAGTGGGGAGGATGCCACTACTGCCACCCAGCAGCCTACTTCAAAGCATTTTAGTTGCAATGGAGCTGTGAACTAGAGCACAACATGCTTTTGCTGTGAAAGCATTTTACAAAAATAGTGACAGTTTCGTGATTGCTGAGCGTGAATTTCGAAGAGAGTTTGGTATTCATCGCAGTTATGCTGTTCTATCTGCCCATGCCATCAAGACCTGGGTTCAAAACTTTGAGGCTACTGGTTCTACACTAAAGAAGAAAGGTGGTGGCATAAAAACAGTACGTACACCCGAGAATGTAGTGGCACTGAGAGAAGCCATGGAACGAAGTCTGCGCCGGTCTGCACGTCACCATGCTACATCATTCGGGCTGTCTGAAGCCAGCATTTGATGGATTTTGCACAAAGATCTCCACTTCTACCCCTATAAAATTCAAATTACTCATGAACTATACGAAAACAACTATGAAAACAGAGTTGATTTCTGTCAGACTTTTTTTCAATTAATTAATCAAAACCAAGATGGCATTAGCAACTTACTGATGAACAATGAAGCTCATTTCCATTTGTCGGGGTTTGTTAACAAGCAAAATTTCCGCTATTGGTCAGCCACAAACCTCAAAGAAATTTATGAGAGACCATTTCACAGTTCCAAAGTAACGGTATGGTGCTCAGTATCTTCATTTGGAATTATTGGCCTGTACTTCTTTGAAGATCAGTGGGAAAGAGCTGTACCTGTGACTGAACCATGTTACGTTCACATGTTGGAGGGCTTCTTAACTTCTGCACTTTCTCGTCTTCCAGTCAAGGAAGAAACTTTTTTCCAGCAAGATGGGGCTATATGCCACACTGCACGAGCTTCCATGGCAGTTGTGAATAACCTGTTTCTTACCCATGTTATCTCCAGATATGGGGACATCATATGGCCAGCCAGGTCACCTGATCTTTCCACATGTGAATTTTTTTTTACCTGGGGGTATCTGAAATCCCCAAGTTTTCAGAGCACCACCACCCCCCACAATTTAGGAGTTTGGAATAAGGAAAAATTGCCTGATCAGTGGAAGGAGTTCTCAAGAAAGGTGATAAAACTGACTGTAGTAATTATCGTGGGATATCACTGCTATCAACTTCATACAAAATTGTATCCAGTATTCTTCTCTCAAGGCTAAATCCATACATAGATGAAATTATCCCAAACTCTTATGAGAATACTATATAATACTTTCCTTCTCATTCATAGGCTTTCTCATAGAGTTTGGGATACCCATGAAACTAGTTAGGCTGATTAAAATGTAATGAAATGTATAGTAATGTCCATATAGGAAGAAATTTGTCTGATAATTTTCCTATCCAGAATGGTCCAAAACAAGATGCTTTATTGGCACTGCTTTTCAACTTTGCTTTAGAATATGCCATTAGGAAGGTCCAGGGAAACCAGGTGGGACTGAAATTAAACGGGACACATCAGCTGTTGGCCTATGCCGATGATGTGAATCTACTGGGTGATAATGTAGATACCATAAAGAGAAAAACAAACTTTAATTGACACAAGTAAAGAGGTTGGTCTAGAAGTAAACACAGAGAAAACATAAGTATATGTTGCTGTCTCATCAGCATAATGCAGGGCAAAATCATGACATAAAGATAGGAAACAGATCCTTTGAAATGTGGCACAATTCACATACGAGTATTTGGGAATGGCAGCAACAAATCAAAATTTTGTTCAGGAGGAAATTAAGAGGAGATTAAACTTGGGCAATGCTTCATATCATTCACAATGGTTTACTGTTCATAATGTTTTTAAAATCGCCTGATTCATTGACGCACCTTGTATGGTACCTTGGCCTTCATATGATTCAGTTGAGAGAAAGCATTGTAATTTTTCATGTATTACAGATAGTGTGGGAATACCGTTGTGTTTTATCGAGTTGATCCTATTTTGGTATTCTTAAATGTATTTGTGTCATTGCTTAGTATCATAGCCAGTGAAATCTGACATCTAGGTAGCCTTCAGTTATGACATGCATACCAATGAGGAAATACTAGAGTATTTCTGTTAGAGTGTGTAGCTTCTCATTTTATGAAAAGATATGATTTGGAACAGGTGCACAACAAATAATCAAAAAGAAGCAAAATAGATACTGCTGTGTCAACATTTGTTTTTATTTGTTGTTGGTGATATCACAACATGTTTCGACCCTTTTCTTGGGCCATCTTCAGGCATACACAAATACTATTTAGCTTCTGAATTGCGTCATTAATCAATATGAATTCATATTTTGTCTGTATGATTATTCTGTACTGACAAGGTTCGAAACATGTAGTGATACCACCAACAATGAATAAAAACAAGTGTTGATGCAGTAGTGTATATTTTGTTTCTTTTTGGTTATTTGTTGTGCAACTGTCCCAAGTTATATCTTTTTGTAAATGTCACACAACAGGATGCATACCATAAAGGTTTTTCATTTTAGACATATCTTGGCTGCTGAACTGAAGGCTGTACAGAAGAAGAACAACCCGGCCAACTTTGGGTTTGGCTGTGATCGTCAGTGCATCTGTGAAGTGTTTGGGCAGGTTCCTTGTCCAGGACTAGTACCTTTACCAAAAGAGATGAGGGGAAAATATAAATACGCAAAAGACTAAATAATATTAATTTGCAGCATTCTTTTGCACTTCATAGATCTGACTTTGCATTCTGCTTTTTTGCTGTCTGTGTGCAACAAGAGAATATTAACTGACATTGCACATAGAGTGCAAAAAAGCAGATTGTAAATTCGGACTAAGTGATGTTCATATGTAGTTTGTGTATAGAAGTTGAATGCTTCTCATGTATAGCACACCACTTTATATTATATTGTCTGTCTGCATATATTGGATATTCTTTGTGACCTTTCTTTCCACAGCCTACATTTGAAAAAGACATGTTACGGGTTTTTAGTTTTGTATGGAGTTGTGCATATCATTGCTATTGGCTTAAAGCATGAGATTAAATTGCTGGCTTGACTTATACAAAAGTCGCCTAATATTGTCTAGTCTCCCAGTTTTGTCCATCATGGTTTTCATGTTGTAGTGTGGTGCACTCTTGTCAATTTTTGTGGCAGTTGTTCCTTCCTGAATATTGGTCACATCATGAACCAGTGTAGCCCATTGCTGCTGCTAGAAGAGGCTGTACAATGATTAAAAATTTCTTAAGGTAGAGTCTTTGAAGCATAGACAAAAATTTGATTTTTATGCTAGGTTATTACATAGATTATAGTAGTTATTGGTTCTCTGCAGTCAGGTCTTGCATGTGAGTGGTTTCCTATAGACTGGGCAGTATATTCTGTCTAAGGTGCGTTCCTAATGTCCACTGAACTGTATTAAGAATTTGACTTATTTTTATTGAACTTCTGAAGTTATTCCTGTTTTTCCGTAGGTGTAAAATATTGCAAAAAAATATATATATCGAGTGTGGGATGAGGGATCAGTGTTGTGGGATGTTAAACCTTGTTGAAGTTTTTGAAAATGTTCAGTGTACCAAGAGAAACACTGAAATATTACATGAATAGTAGATGCAAGGAAGAAGGAACTCAGTGTCCATGGGATTGGGAAGAAAACTGCACTTCCTGTTCAGACTGCAGATTGTTTTAGACTGACAGCAAAATATTAAAGGAGTGGCTTTTGAGTTGGCAATACAAAACACTCTGCCGCACTCATTTGTATGGAAATTGGGAAAGCCGGTAAGAAGTGGTCGCAAAATATTTTGAAAAGGCATGTGACATTGTCATTAGAGAAACTTCCAGCTACATCTGCTTCTCAAATGATGAGGTTTACTCCCATATATTTTGCAGCATTTTTAGACATTTTTGAAATGAAGGTGGGAAAAAATGAAATTTTCTCCAAATCACCTGCTAAGTGTCCAAACTGAGAGTTGTCCAATATAAAAGCAGAAGGTGGAAAAGGAGTTGCTCCTCTATGGTTATCAGCAGTTCATTGCACATGTGAAACCCTCAGCTGATGATTGTCTGTTATTAATGTACGATGGCCATTACTGTCATGCGAGATATGTGGAGGTTATTGAGGTGGCTTGAGCCAATGGTATTGCAATTGTATGTATTACACCTTACTTGACACACAAAATGCAGCCTCTGGATTTGTCTTGTAATGTCTCTTTCAGATATACAGGGTTACTACAAATGTTTCATTCCATTTCAAAACACTATATTTCCAAAGTATTACACATACAAATATGATTGATACATGAGAAGAACCGCACGCTTACCAAGTTTGCATTGTGATACACCAGTTGGCACTGCCAACAACACTGGTAGAGCTCAGGGAACGCATTAACGCTGCTGTGATGACCATTGGCAAGGGAGTGTTACGAAATATTTGGACCTAACTCGACTACCGTTTGGATGTGTGTCGTGTGACCAACAACATTTGTAATTTGGTGAGTTTACGGTTCTTTTCATATATCAGTCATATTTGTATGTGTAATACTTTGGAAAATATAGTATTTTGAAATGGAATGGATCATTTGTAGTAACTCTATATTATGGCCAAGAGATTGAGAACTGGTGGACATTGCTTAATTGTAGTACACCAGAACACAGATCACAGTTAATGGCTTTCAGAAAACAGGTATCCATCCAACCAAAATATTTTCAATTATTAAGAATTCATAGAAGTTGCTGCTGTTCAGAGCACTGGCAGAGTCTCATCTTTTGCTGCTCCTAGTGACATCTCTCCTGTTGAATGAATGAACGTATAAGGGGTGAGCCTTCTCGGCCCTTGCACCATGACCTACAGTGATCTGCTGTGCTTCCCCTTTTGATTATCCCCTCAGAAATCCTGCGCTTCAAATGAAGCGCAGGATTTTGTACATGGGGGTGTCGAAATAGTCACTTGGTTCCATAAAGTATTGACCCAAGTGGTGTAATCTTAAATAACCTAAGGCCTCACATTCGCACAGGATATGCGTGGCTGTTTTGTTTTCTTCTTGACACCTCTCACAAGTGGGACTGTCACTTAGTCCCAGTTTGAAGAGGAACCCTTTAAGGTGACAGTGTCCTGTAAGTAGTCCCACCACCCATCATAGCTGGTACCTGTTTAACTTCAACAGTTCCTTTGCTCTCTTAGTAGAGGGTCCTCGTATGAGTCCCTTTGCTTTCCTGAGTCCAGTCAAGGATCCCCAGTATTTCTTGTGCTTCATATTTGTCCAGTCCCTGATTGCCTTTCTGGCAACTCCTATAGAGATGCCACAGGCTGGTTCTGGTCCTATGAATGGATGTTCAGCTCCAGTCTCCTGTTTCTCATCTATGAAAATGTTCAGCCCAAACTACAAGTGCTGCTACATGTTGGCATGGATGAGCTACAGTAATACTGGTATCCACACAAGAACAGGCTCATGGAGAAGCCTTAGAGAAGAAGAGGACAACAAATAGAAGCACTGAGAAACACAACAAGCAGAATAAGCAGCACTTCATCTAGCTCAGCTGAAGAAATTGACTTGATTTTAGTCAGCACAGATGAAGAGGATAATGAAGACGGTGCTCAGTATCTGCACCATAGACATTTATGCTCAGAGCATAAGGCAGGACAAAAATGGGTATGCTTCACTGAATGTGAATGGAGTGAGCTGTGGGGAGTGTTCAGGCAAAAATGACTGCGACTGTCTTGACACCTAGATCGATCTATATGTCATTCTTCTAAGATTTTGGCTTTTATTTTAGTTTAACCTGCTACAACTTATATTTTTGCGATTCAGACAGTTATCTTTTTGTTTTATTGTGAATTTCTGTTGATTTCCTTTCTTTTTATACATTAACTATATTATTTTTCAACATTATTATTGTTTTGTTTACAATGGAACATGTTTCATGTTGCTTGAAAATTTAATTTTGTTACATTAGTAACTATAAACATTAGCGGCCTCCGTAGTCTAGGGGTAACGCTCCCACCTCGTGACTCAAGGTACGTGGGTTCAAACCTGGCAGAGGTCGTGGAATTTTTAAGGGCGGAAAAATTCAGGGAACAAGTCCTCCAGGACGGACTTTATGCTGTTGGTCCCATGTCGTAGATTTATGGCACGTAAAAGATCCTCATGTCTCTAGGAGACCACTGAGCTAAATTAGGCAAAAAGTTTCCCGCCCAAGTAGTTTCCAATGCCTCTGGTAGATGGGGGAAGTATCAGGTACCGAGGGCCGACCTCGTTGGCTGAACGGGGCTGATAGCACACACCAGTACCGGTAGGGTATGGCGACAGTAGAAATTAAAGGGGGACGCACCATGGACCAATAACTGGTCTAAGTGCATGGGGAAACCCACCCCCTCTAATAATAATAATAATAATGACTATAAACATTACTTTGAGGCATTATTGAGGGTAGGTGATATTGGGACACCTAGGTTTGCAGTGGGAGTACTATGAGACAGTACATCAGCTATTCATAGACTTCAAGAAAGCCTGTGATTCGTTTAGGATGGAAGTATTGTACAATATTCTCATAGAGTTTGGGATACCCATGAAACTAGTTGGCTGATTAAAATGTGTTTAAACGAAACGTATAGTAATGTCCATCTAGGTAAACATTTGTCTGATAAATTTCCTATCCAGAATGGTCTAAAACAAGTAGATGCTTTAATGCCGCTCCTTTTCAACTTTGCTTTAGAATATGCCATTAGGAAGGTCCAAGGAAACCAGATGGGACTGAAATTAAACGGGACACATCAGCTGTTGGCCTATGCCGATGATGTGAATCTACTGGGTGATAATGTAGATACCATAAAGAGAAAAACACAAACTTTAATTGACACAAGTAAAGAGGTTGGTCTAGAAGTAAACATAGAGGAAACTAAGTATATGTTGCTGTCTCATCAGCAAAATGCAGGGCAAAATCATGACATAAAGATAGCTAACAGATCTTTTGAAAATGTGGCACAGTTCACATACGAGTATTTGGGAATGGCAGCAACAAATCAAAATTTTGTTCAGGAGGAAATTAAGAGGAGATTGAATTTGGGCAATGCTTCCTGTCATTCATTGCAGAACCTTTTGTTTTCCCATCTGCTGTCCATAAACGTAAAAATTAGAATTTACAAAACTAATTTTGCCTGTGGTTCTCTATGGGTGTGATATTTGGCCTCAGACATTAAGAGAGGAACATAGACTGAGGGTGTTTGAGAACAGTGCGCTGAGGAGAATATTCAGACCGAAGAAGGATGAAGTGACAGGAGGTTAGAGAAAACTGCATAATGAGGAGCTTCACGACTTGTACCTTTTGCCAAGTATAATTAGAATGATGAAGTCAAAGAGATGAGATGGGCAGGGAATGTAGGACACATTTAAATTACAAAAGAAAGTAATAAGGATCATTTTGGGAGTGGGACCCAGAGACTCATGTAAAAGTCTATTTAAGAAATTAGATATTTACCTTTGTCATGTGAATATATTTTTTCTTTGATGTTGTTTGTGATAGATAATCAAAATAGTTTCTGTTCAGGTTTAGAGGTTTATGGCTTGAACACTAGAAGCAAAAATCAAATTTATATTCCAACTTCAAATCTTTCCGTTTTCCAGAAGGGCACTATGTTTGCTGGCATTAGGTTATTTAATAGATTGCCAAAGACTATTCAAATTCTTAGAAAGGATAGAATCGTTTTAAAAATAATTTATTTTTATATCTCATGAATAACTCATTTTATACAGTTGATAAATTTTTGGAGCATACAGTAAATAATTACAGTGTTTACTTGGCTTTGTATTGACTTTCTGCTTTGTTTCTTTGTGTTATGCTTGCGACCAGTTTCGTGTCCCTTGTATTTTGGACTTGTGAGATGTGAAATATATGTATGTATGTATGGGGGGAATAAGAATACATATAGGAT